ATGCTTAATTCCCTGAGTGGAGTAGTGAACAAAAGGGGAATTAAACAAGTTACTTGCTATCATAGAGCAAGGGATCACTCTGCTGAGCTCCATCATATAGAAAAATACTCCCAAATTCATGCAATTCCTTTGTTTCATCAATATCTATCTTCTGCTTGGTTGTTATGCTAACTACAGAGACAGATGATTGACAGGAAGATACCGGCCACTCTTCCTGGGAATAAAACCTCTGTTCTAACTCTCATTTTATCACTATTCAGATTAGCCCATTATCTTCTTCATCCTAAAGGGTGTGAAATGCATAAAATGTTCATGCATATCTGAGCCAGGAGAAGAGGAAAAAGGATATTTTAAGTTGAGTCTTGAAATAAAAGTAGGACAGGATATAAATTTTAAAATGATTTCACTTCAAACAAGATGCAAAATAATTCATGAGGGAGAGACTCCAAGACATAAAATATTATAGGATGGAAACCTACGGTTAAAAAGCACACGTTAGAGCAAGATACTGCAATGGGGACCATTAAAAATATTGTTCTTAAGTTCCGTCCCTCCAGTCTCCTGTTATCCTAAGGGGTACAGACTTTACAAGAACCAGGAACACATAGTTGGGCTACATGGAGCCAGACCCAAACGTCACCTGTTAAAACTTTGTGTTCCTCTCCCTTTCTCATTTTTTTAAGAATGAAAGAAGATTTTAGAGAGATGAGAATTGAAATCCTTTTCTTCCTTTTGTTAGTACATTTGAGATAAGAACTGCGGCAATGGAGTTGAAGTCATTTCTGTCTAGATTTTGAGAAATGAAAAAGCCTGAGCTAGAAGGTACACGAAGGCGTGAGGAACAGGTTGCTTAGTGGTTCAGTGTCTAAGCAAGAAGGATGCTTTCAGGTAAGAACAGGGCAGCCTATTCTTCACACAGACCTGTGAAATTGGTAGAGGGTAGCTTGATTGTGCAACAGTGAAGCAAAACAGTTCTCTTATCTCACTGCCTCTAAAAAGTACTGTAAGAGCATATCAAAATAAGATAACAAAATATGAAGACCAGATGGTCCACTGCTTCCTGGTATTTAAGCTTTAACATACTAAATTGTGGAGGGGTAAAGGGAGATGGCTCCATCTACATCATCTTACTAAGAGAAAACCAGGCAAGGACTTCGGGAGAAGACAGTTAGGATGTGAGAGCTTCCTGGTTTGCACAAGGCCTGTCTGAGAACAATAAATATGTGGCTTCATAGGTACAGAGCCAGGTGAGGATAACAAATGCCCATCCTCTAGTAGTCAATGTTCCTTATAATTAACATATCAAATTTTTCCTTCAAAGGATGCACCAATTAAACTGGATAGACAGCAAACCAATGGAAAAGTGTTCTATCAGTTACTTTTATGCTGCTGTGATAAAGTACGGTGATCAAAGGCAACTTTAAGAAGAGTGTGGTTTGGCTTATGGTTCTGGGGGCTAGATGTCCACAATAGTAGGACAGGCATGGTGGCAGGTGCTAGAGGCTGAGAACACGCATCTCAACCACACAAAGGAAACAGAGAGCAAGTGTATAAACTTCCAAAGCCCACCCCAGGTGATGCATTTTCTTCAGCCAGGCCTTCCCAGACAGCATCACCAACTGGAGACCAAGTGTCCAAATACATGAGCTACGGGTTCATTTTTTCATTCAATCCACAGTGCGGACATTTCAAATTGGCTTTATACAGACCAAAAGCTCAAAGAAATGATGAACAGGCATTAGCTTATTCTGAATGTAAGACGTTGAAAATCTAAGTCTAGACTGCAGCCATTTTATCAAGGTACCATTTGTGTAGCTCAGGAAACAAGCTAGTCACAGGTGTCACTACCTCATTGTTCTTTTCTCTATTCTTCTGTGGTTTTCTCCTAATGGTTTCCTGGCCGAATGAGAAATTTAAAATACAAAAATCACCATACCAATCTATAGTTTAAAAGTCCAGTGACTCAAATTGTCTTACATGTAGTAAGTAAAGTTCAAATCCTCCAATGCCTTTAAAAATCCTCAGCCATCTAGCTCAATGAACGTCTTCATCCTAGTTGAGTCTCTGACCTCAGTAATATTTCATCTCTAACAATCTTTTAGTTTCTTGAAGCTAATATTTCTCTGTCCTTTAATCTGTTTTGTATAATTTTCCTGCAAATGTACTTTTTCATCTTTTTCTATAGTGCTTGCCACTTTCTAAGTCCATACTACTTATTTGTGTATTTTTAGATTTGTTAGTTATTGTTTTTAGCCCCTGATAAAAGATAGAAGGATAGGGATCTTTATTTTCTTTATTGATGTCCCAATGGCATCAATAAAGAGTGTTTTATATGTAACAGGTACACAATACACAGGTGTTCAGAGAATGAATGAAATCCATTCACTTTAACACATTAATTACTGTGGCACATCCAGGAAGACAGAACAAATGTTCACCCAATTCACTGCTCTATTTTCCTTAACAAAACTGTAGGCTTTGAATGAAAACATGAGATAAACGTTACTTCCAAATGCCGATCTCCCATTTACTTGACCAGATTCTCAGCCTAGGAGTCTCCTTTCTCCACATCTACAACCCTCTTATCTTGTTGCTAAATCTAATTAACAACTACTTTACACTAAAACATTGACAAATATGCTATTCTTAATTAACATAAACTGTTTATTTCATCCTTGCATTAGATGTAAGCATTGTTCAGATACTTCTGAATGCATTTATGAAAACACACTCTAAAACACTTTAGAAAGAGGACGATGAGACCAAAGGGAAATATAAGTAGAGTGTAAAATGACTCTAACAGGGAAGAAGTTGACTAAAAATGCCAGTCACACAGAGGGATACAGCACGCATCTCAACACCTAGGACAGAACGGCTGAAGCTAACCTCGGGTACACTAGAATCCTGTTCATAGTCCTCTCTGGATGGAGGACTATAAAGATTCCACAGCTTCCAGAGGGTCTCATGCAGTCCTTACTGTCTATTGTTTAATCATTTTTCTTTTCACATTCTGTCCCTACACCCTAATGTTTTATTAACCACTGCTTAAAAAATGGACACAGAAAATCTGCCTTCAGAATAATAGGGGCTGGAGGGATTGCTCAGTGGTTAAGCTCACTGGCTGTTCTTACAGAGGACCTGGGTTCAGTGCCCAGCAACAACATGGGGGCTAAAAATTGTCTGCAACTCCAG